CTTCTTCTCCTCCTCCTCCCCCTCTCCTCCCTCCTCTCCTCCCCCTCCTTCCCCCCTCCTTCTCCTTCTTTTAAAGGACCTAGCATAAGACTGCAGGAGAACATCAGTGAATTCAAGGCCAGACTGAATTAAATCATTGAGTTCAAAGCCAGCCTGAACTACATAGTGAGACCTTGTCTCAAACAAACAATCTCCCCAGTAAAATAATGCTGGAAAAAATACACATAAAAAACAGATCTTGGGGGCCTGCCCCCTTAGCTCAGTTGTTTAAGTGGCTGTTTCAACAAAGCAGTCAGGCTCAGGTTGCTGTGGTTCGATCCCCACAACTCAAGCCAGCCAAACCTGCCCAGAAGGCATTCAGAGCAAAAACAAAGCCAAAAAAAAAAAAAAAAAACAGATCTTACTGCACCAATATGGTCACTGCTGGCACACTGCTATCTAACCACAATGAAAAATGTCCTTTCCCCTACGTTGTTCTTATCCTACGCCTACTCAGCAGCTCACTCAAGGAGCATGGACGCGCTGAACGAAGCCTTTGACACCCACTTGCCAACATGACCATTTTACTCCTCTGTTCAAAAATGCCTGGAACCTCCACACCGCTTATTCCTTGGTCTGGATTTTATCATTCCTACCCTATCACTAGACTGGACTGCACTCTATTTTACAGATATAGTAGTAAATTCTTTTCTATAAAACCTTAGGCTTGTGGAGGGGTGAATATAAAGGAAAAATAAAAAATATTTCTAAAGTCTCTTGCCTTGGAATGAAAGAAATGAAGAATCATATCTGAGAGGGGCTGAAGGGAAAACAAGGGGTTGGGAAGAAGAAAAACCAAGATACAACACGTACAGGCACAAATGCCCTGTGGTGAATGTGATCATTATGTATAGCTAAAGTGTACCAATAAAATTAACTTTAAAAAGGAATTGTAAATGAAGTCGTGTGGATGAGGAAAAGAACTGAAGAGTCTCATTTTTTATAGCTACTGAGTATGTTACAGTAGCGGTTCTCAAACTGTGACCTCAAAGTCTTTTTTACACTCTTACCAGTTGCTGAGATCCCCAAAGAGAATCTATGCGTGTGAATTATATCTATTTATAGTTACCAGAAATGAAAAGCAAGAAGGTTTTATAGCATAAGAATGTTCAAACCCATGCCCCATGAGCCACCGGGGCCTGAGCCATGGCAACGGTACATGCTGTGCAGAGCTGTAGAATTCCTCTGTGTGCCTGGAAACAGCATGGACGAGACAGGGCAAAGAACACCTGAGCGCTACTTTGGACATAGGTTTAACTTTGTAGAGTCCCTGAAAGGATCTTAAAGACCTATGAGCTGTGTAGAGGCTGCACTTCTAGAACCCACTATGCAACTGTGTCAGTGAGGCAGAAATGTTTCTTTGTAAATCTGGAATCGGAAATGAAAAGTATGAGGCTAAAAAAATGACCTTGTAAACACAGAACAAAATAATGACAGATAATAGCTCAGAAGATACCAAAAAAAGATGACTGGGGGAAATGACATTTTGAGAAAGGGTAACATTTCGGACAACAAGATTTAAAACAGGAGCCATTAAGTAATACACCCCAAGGGCCAAGGAGATGGTTCAGTGGAACAAGCGCTTCCCTGGCAAGTGTAAAGGCCTGAGTTCAATCCCCGGTTCTACCAAAAAAAAAAAGTAATACACCCCAAAATACTAAATAAGAACCTGAGGCTTCCAAAATGAATCAAGACAAACAGAAAATATGATAAGATGTCTCCACTAAAGTGCTTAGAAAATGTCAAGGCTTCGAAGGAAGCCTATTACTGCAATCAAAGTTGGAAGATGTACAGATTTTCTCTTTATTTTTGAGAAGCTGTGTGCCATGGCTTCACTATAATGAATACAGGTAAACAATGACCCTGCTTGGGACTCCAACTACACTTGAAATCTGCATACATCCATCTTCCGTTAATTCTGAAAAATGTGAAGTACTCATATCTTCAATGACAGTGCTAGTATATCCTTTATAATCAGGTCCTTAAAACTTCTGTACTCTATGTAAAAAGCTCTAGTCTACAAGCCACCAGTCTATGACCTCTGAACACAAGCGAGAACTGAAGTGCAGCACACGGAGTGCAAGCCCAGGAGCTTCCGGAGAGCCCTGCACTCAGAATTCAGTGTGGCAGTCATGAAATGCATGAGTCCTGATGGAAGGAAAGTGAATTCAAGAGACAGAGCTGATGTTTTAAGGAATGTAGTAAAGAAGCTAAGAGTCAGACCTAAATGGAGAGCCTGAGCAAGAAAAGTATATCTTTATGAAACAGTAAAATGGAGAAAGGAAGCCACTGATACAAGAAAGAAAACAAGTAGAAGGAAGAACCTTAGCAAGGAGAATGAATAGAACTTCTGAATTAAGAAGGAAGTGAGGTTGCATGATAATTTTAAATATTTTAAAGAGAACATAAGAGGGTTCCCACCTTAGGCTTCTCTAAATGAAATGATTTTATGAGAATGACCGAAGCACGGGGGGCTTGGGTGTGAGAAGGGGAGATGGCTTGGAATGTTCACTAGAGACTTTACTGATTCTGTAAGAAAGGAGAGGAGCATGCAGAAACAAAACAGCTTGCTGGAACCCACTGCCCTAAGTTGCAGCACAGTTTTATGACTTCAGCCAATAATTCTTGGCAACTGAAGCTGTTATACAACTGCCTGAGCACATGTTCTTCTGTGTGGGAAGAATGCCAGGAAGGAGAAGTTCAGAGAGGATCCCCTTCTATGGAAAGAATGACTGTCAACTGGGGATACTAGTTTAATATGTATTTGCAGCAAAACCTCATAAAGTGGTCACTGCATTCTTTCCTTTACAGAGAGAAACAATCAACTCTCTTCTCATCCACTGGGGACGAGATACAGACAGGCAGCCCTTAAGAGGCGAGATCAGCAGACTATGACTCCACTATCACCGATTTACTTAACCAACAACATGGGCTAAGGTAAATATTTTGCTAACTTTTGTGAGGCCGAAACTAGATCTCCCTTCTTGAATATGGTTATTAATATTTCATATACAATGTTTTCATCTGAACAGAGACATGTCAGAGAGGAAGAGGCTGCCATTGTTCCTTAAGTGGGAGTGATGAGCACACACTGGTGAGATCCAGGTGAAATGCAGCGAACATTCCACATACATCCCACGTGGAACTGCAAAGAGGCATGTCAGAAATGCATGGAACACTCTGGTCTGTGTGCCTGGCCCTGGAGAAAAAGATGCTACGCACACACACAGAAAACTGAGCAGTCACTCAGCAGAGAAAAGTTTCCCAAGTCATATTCACAGGGCTGTGGTGTGCTAAACCACAATCACACAAGGCCAAGGTAGAACACTGTGAAGAAGGTGCTAATTCCCTAAAGAAAAGACATGCAGTGACTACAAATCCCACAAGTCTTATGGCAGGGCAGTGTCTATAGATAGCTGGCACCAAAACATTTTTGTAAGAGTCATGTGTGGGAAAGATTATTGTGGGTAATGAAAGGAAGCACACACGCTGACTTAAATAAGAATTTATCAAGAGAAAATAGAAACAACAACCAAAGATCTGCATGGTCTGGGCTTCCTAGTGACTAAGGAGGATAGAGCACAGCAGGAAATACTACTTAGGGAGGAAGAAAACCTCTGAATACTATAGAAATATGTACGTGTGGTAGAAACCTGCAAGATAGTTAACACTGGGAAACAGAAACAATGATCAAAAAGCAATCTAGAAACTCTCTCAAATTTTGGCACCCCAACCAGCAATTTTATCTGCCCTGAGAACTTCTAAAACTACATGGTGTCAGACCCTACCCCAAAACTACCAAACCAGATACTACAAGGTGGAGCCACGACAATCATTTAAGTTCTCCAGATGTTTCTGATGCACAACAAAGTTGGACAACAGCTGCTTTATGTAACCAGCTATCTAAGAGCTGAGCCCAGAAACAATCACTTTCTGGTCCAGGTGAGGTGTCAGTTAGGTTTCTGGGTTAGTTAGTTTCCAGTTCAAGCAGCTGGTCCTTGCAACTCAAAGCATGAGCCACAAACATCTGGAAAAATCAGCATCTCCTGGAAGTTCGTCAAGAATAGAGAACCCTGGGCTTCAGGTTACACTACTGAGTCAGAAGCTACATTTACAAGATCCACAGGTGATTCCTGTGCACATTACAGAACGACAGGCACTAAACTATAAGCAGCATTTCAACAAAAGAGTGAGGAGAGGCAGAGAGACTCTGGACCTCACTGCCCTCTCCTGAGGTAGGCAGGAAGGGAGCCCCTTGCTCACCGCTAGCTCAGAGCTGCAGGCTGGAGTTCAGGATGGGGATGGACTCTAGAGCCGACACTCACTGTCACCTTGCTTTGCACAGGGGCTGCCTCTGAAGCCATAAGGAGGCCCCTACTTGTCACCCCTGTCTTTGACCCTGAGTTGCCTGAAAAGTGTGGCTAATGGTTAACCTCCTTGAATTGTTAATCTTTTAAAATGCCAGGTAACAATGAAAACAGACCAAAAATGCAAGCCTTTGAACCTCACAAATTATGTAATAAAAGTATACATAGTTTATTGCATGCATTAAACCAATTCTTCAAATTCTTTTTAAATAGCAGTGAGATAATTCCCAAATTTAGAGGCTACTGAATTATGAGAGAGACAAAGAAATGTTAACATGATTTACTTCAAACAAAAGGCCATGGGTTTATCTTTTATTGCATCTTTGTAACAAGGAAAAATAATTTTCTAACCAACCTGATAACATGGATCCCTCATTAATAGCCTCAGACAAATTAACACTCTCAGAAAATGAATGGATGGGGCTCGATCAACCCACTCCCTGAAAGAGAAAAACAAAAGAGATCATGATATTAGAAGGCCAGTGGGATAGCTCATGAACAATGCATGTCTTTGAGGGAACATAAAGGACACCTGAAGGAACACAAGAAGTGCTTATTTTATTTCAACTTTAATCTGCAATGGGCGCTGTTATCAGACCCTTGCCCACTGGGCTTGCACTAATGCGCACACGTCCAGGCCACGCTCACCAAAATGAGACACAGGCCCCCGAACATACTGGGTTCACAGCATTTAACTATCAAATGGCACGCTCTAAGTCAGTATAAACAGCTATAGAGTCCAGAACATTGTTACATACACCTTAGTAAGAATTTTAACCCTAACACCTTAATATCCACTTGGAAAAAAAAATACATATACATTAAAAAAAATTAAACTTTCATCTTTAAATAACCACATATACATACTAACACAGCAAGTACATCTGTAGGTACTAAAGCACTTTACAAACCTTGGAATCATATTCCATACCATCATGTTCCTCTTCTGCCTGACTCTCCTAGGGTACTTGCTTTCTATTGTTACAGCCACCAAAAACCAGCTTCAAAAGAAATGCCATTATCAGAGCAGTATGTACAATCCAGCGCCAAAATCATAAACGACCTGGAGTAGTTAGTGATATATCTAGTGCATGTTGAATACACCGATTTTCCTGGAAACTTAAAATAGCCCTGGATTACTTTGATGCTCAGTTTGGGAAACACAGTGATGAACTATTTTCTTAGGCCAGTTTCCCCAGAAACCATTCCCAAGATGGAGATTTGTGTTCCCAAATGAATGACTATGGAATAGCTTTAAAAGAGGCCATCAGGAGACCAAGGGACATGGTGAAGGAGGGGGAGAAGGCCAAGGCAGGTGCTACCTCTGGCACATGTCCTTCAACCAGCTGGGCCTTTGGAAGTCACTTCTCCTGAGGCTGTCCCACAGTGAGGCCAGGGTGGCAGGCTTTCCTTCTGCAGAAGTGGTTGCCAGGGATGAGCACTTGGAGGGGTGTCAGGAACAAATGCCCGGGCACTTCCTCTCACTGATCCTATAGGCAAAGAACTCAAGAAGCCTGAGGGTGGAGCCAGTACTTCTGCACAGGAAGCCCAGAAACCAAGAGCATAAGGGTTTCAGGACTCTGGACAAGGCACCAACACCACATTTCTACCTGGGGACTAATTAGAACCCTTCAAAATTAAAGTAGCCATCACTGGAGAAATCACATGAAGACAGGAACTGAATGTGCTGGTGCTAAAGGCCAAGCACAACAGTAACTGACGAGACAGGGCCCATTCAGGAAGGAGAAAATCCGAACTTCTGCTTCAAAGGAAGAATATACCCAATATCTATCTAGACTGTCATCAGATTTCTGAAGAACTATTTAAAGTATCTTTTCACTGACATCAAATATATAAGTGTCTGCTCAAGTGCAGAATGAAGGGCTTTGAAATTGTTTCTTCAGGGAAAAGACATTTTGTTTTTCACTTTTAAAGTAGAGAAGTTACAATTTTGCCATGTCACTGGAAGAACCAAAACCAGTGTCCTAGTTTGAAGAGGCCAAGGAGCCTTGTATTTGTTGGCTATTCAAATATGCATTAATGACTAATTCCCTGATTTATATCAGGGTTATCAGAGGAAGCAGGTATGGCCTCAGTAATCTCAGTTAAGGATTTAAATCTAGAGGAATACCAGAGCCAACTGAGAAGCCTTCATTTTCAGGACTTTGTAAGTTCTCTAGTTAGCTCAGTAGTAGGAAGACAAGGTAAGCGTAGTCTCTGCCCTTCCTGGTCCTGCTGAGCTCCTGTGAGTAATTTCTTCCATCACAGAGTTGTACTGTGTCCAGTCAGAGCTGGTAGTAAATGCTGTCACAATGTTAAAACTTTCCAGCTGGCTCCCCATGCACAGTCATTAGGCCACAGAGCATAAGAATGCAAGGTGCCTTTCACGTCAGTTGGCAAAGACATTAGTACCCAAGGTTTTAGGACAGCAGAGCCAGGCAGAAATTACCACCCACGCTTCCTGAATCTCATCCTGATTGTTAGCATGGCTGAAATTGACTTTGTGAACACCTACACCAACCTTATTCCTGCCGATTTTCCAAAATACGCAAACTCTTGGGGTTTTGTCTTCTCCTTTTTCTCTCATTCTTCACCCACTTCCTCGGCAAATCTTGTCTGCTCCATAACCTGGCCTCTCATGTTTTACTGTCTCCTCTCTACCACCACCCTGGTTCAAGCTACCTTCATCTCATGCTTGAGCAGTTACAAAAGCCTCTTAGCTGAGATCTGTGCTTCTACCTTTGACCCCTGCTTTATTCTTCACGTCTACAGGGCGTTCTTCACAACTGTCAATTCTTGTTACTCCTCCACCCAAGCTCTCGAATAAGCTCCCATCTGAATAAAAGCCAAAGCTCATACCACACCCTGCAAGGTCCTAGCTGCTCTGTCCTTCACATCATGGCTCCAACCCCATCGCCTTCCCTAGTCCCTTTCTCCTACCCTCCCAGTCATGCAGACCCTCCTAACCCATGTTTTGGCTAAGATACTTCTCATGCAGCCTGCTATGGCTTTTCAGCACTGGAACCTGAAAAGTTACAAAGGGGCTCTTCAATGTGACTCATGACTGTTCTAACTACAGTGTGTGTTTGGTGCAGAGGTGGTGAGGAAGGAAAACAGCCCTGCTGGATGTCCCCTGGATGCTACCTGGTCTCCTCTATGCAAGGTGGACCTGTCTGGGTGACACATCTCTTAGTGTGCTATTTCTCAAGTTGTACCTGGAAGCAAAAGCCCAAAGCACAACGTATCTGCTGTTTCATACCTAGCCAAGAAACACATGGCCGAAGCTATTTCACATTAGCATCATAATTTTTCTCACCTCCACGGCTGAGCTGGTTGTGTATGCAGCAAGGTGTGGAGCACTTCTTAAGCTGCACACCCACATCAATCCTCACCCACTTTGTCCTGTATCTGTCCTTAGCCTCGAGTGACAGAAAGATGCCTTGTCTCCTCTACAGTCTTGAGAAAATCAGCTCTTCCCCTAATCCTGTCCATCTTAATCCTGAGTGAATCAGAACTACCCATCCTGAGGCAGGCAGAGCAGGTACAGTTGCTGCCACCAGAAGGACCACACTCAACCCCACCCCTCAGCTGAGCCACACACCATTCCCTCTACCTCATGGGAGGGAGGGAGGCAGATTCACTTTTCACATAGCCTATATTCTCGGGAATGTTTGGGTGCTTCTTGTAGCTACAAACCCAGCAGAAAGCCAAGTGCAGAGATGCCAACTAAGGTAGCCCCAGAGCATCACTGGCTGGGACTTACTCTTCCTGCCACGACCACGGCTCCTATCCCCCCCAATCCCTTTCTCAGTGACTCATTTGCCATGGAAGCAAAGCCCAGTTTCTTTGGAAAATAAAGTCATGGCTCAACACCTGGAGCTGCTGAAGAGGCAGCGTCACCCAACACCGCAGTGACAGATGCACTGCGGTCCATCCTGACTTTTACGGTACTACAGTATTCTCCCTGCATGGGCAAATGTGGCAAATCTGAAGCTCATTTGGGAACTTAAACAATCCTCTATGGGAGCACTTCATCTATGGGAACAACTGTAAAACTGTTCCTATTCCAAGGTTCCTATTACAGGGAGAGTACATTTAATCTTTATATAAATAGGGGAAGAACACATGACAAGCTCCCCATCCAGGTGCCGGGGCACGGTGACGCCAGGAGCCACGCTGCGTGCATACGCTGCTTCTGCACGCTGGCGCAGGAGGAATGATCAAGCGGTCCGCAGCTGCTGGAGCCTAAGAAGGGTGAATGCTCGCGGCTTTTCGCCATTCACGAGGAAAAGGCCTGGGGCATTTTAAGAGCTGATTCATGTCACAAGTATGCATACACTTGATATTCTTCCCGTTAGAGATAGATGGCCTTAATGAGGGAGACGTCCATGAGCTTTCCTATGTTTTTTCATACTAAAATAAACATAAAAAGGCTTTTCCTGCTTCTTTTTCATTCCCCAAGGGGGAAAAAAAAAAAATCCCCCAGATACATTTTTTTTTTTCGTTTTTACCATTAAGGGAGTATAAATAAATGAAGGATTCCAGAATAGTTCCAGAGTTGAAAGTTCAGTTCCAAGCAAACGACATTTTTTTTTTTATTTCTTTTGCAGTTTTGGGACTGAAGCCCAAAGCTATTAATATTTTTACAGGGCTCTGGTGTTACAAATGTAAGCAGGGTTCCTGACCTCTTCTGAGTCCGCCGGCTCCTCCCCTGGCCTTGACCTCCCCTTGGAAGGTGCAGTTGTTGCTTCCCTAGCTCCCAGCCCTAACCCCCATGAGACCTGGCACACACACGGGAGGACACGCTGGTGTTCCCAGGAACTGGGCGGGCTGTAAGACGATAGGACATCTGTTTGCCAAGAGTCAGGGCCCTAGGAAACGCACGACGTGGCGCAACCAGAAAATTACACAAACAGTGGTGACAGATTGGAAAGACGGAGCGTTCAGTTTACCTATTCTGCCACTGCATCCTGGGACAGGCACACAGCTGTGCCTAAGTAACAGAGCTGGGGGCTGACTCCCTCCAACAGGCTCCTCCCAGGAGGACTAAAGAGAGAGAGAGAGAGACTCCAAATACTAACACGGGACCAGAAGTGTTCTCCAGAACGGCACGGGGGTCCTGAAAACTCATGTGTCTGCAAAGTTACTGCCTCCCTGGAGGGTGTGTCTCGATATAGCAGTCACACAGGAGCAAATTCATGGGCGGGCAAATAGCTGTCACCTCCTGTGACTGAACTTATGCCACTGTGTTCAGGGACTATTAATCCAAGGCAGCATGATCTGCTCCTGCAGCCCTTGTCCAGGACAGGACGGGACCACCTGCCGCTTTGCTGGCAGCATCAGATACCATCTTTACTAACAATATAAAGAACACAGGGGGCATAGGGAGATAGCTCAGTAGAATAAGCACTTGCCTGGCAAGTGCAGGGTCCTGAGTTCA